GCAGGGCCAGACCAAATGATTTCATGGGCTGGATGTTCCCCACCCCTGCATTAGACAATCACACTGGGTTCTTTCCAATATCTGGCAGTATTCATTTTCTAGGGCTGCTGCAACAAATGACCACAAACTAAGTTGCTTAAACCAACAGAATTTTATTTTCTCACAGTTCTGGGATTCAGAAATCTGCAATCAAGATGTTTTCAGAGTTGATCTCCCTCTGAAACCCCCCAGGGAGATTCTTCCTTGCTTCTTCCAGCTTCTGGTGGCTGCAAAGGTCACTTGGATTGTGGCCACGTGACTCCAATCTCTGCCTCTCTTTTCACGTGATCTTTTCTGTGTCTTCTTCTGTTTCTTATAAGAATACTCATTCCATTTAGGGGCTCCCCCGATAATCCGAGAGGATTTCCCTAAAAATCCCTAATTTAGTTACATCTGCAAAGAGGCTTATTCCAAAACTCACACTCACAGGTTTTGGGATTAGAACATTGATATATCAGTTTAACCCACTACATTCTTGTTTACAATTAGTGCTGGAAGGAATAACCTTCCACATGTGGTATCATATTTGTGGAGGTATGTCTTCAGAACAGATTCTTTCAAGTAGGATTTCTATGTCAAAAGACAAGGAATATGTAATTTTGCCCAATCCTCTCCATAGGAGTTGTACTATTTTATACTCCTACTAGAGGCCTGATGCATTAAATTCATGCAAGAGTAGGCCTTCCTTCCCCTGGCTGCTGGCACCAGCTTCCCTCTGTCACCCAGGACCCGGGACCTGGGCTTCCCTCCTCCAGCCGCCGGCTTTGTCCAGAAGGATGTCTAGTCTAATTAGCATGTTATGCTTTTATTATTATAGACCAGCTATGTTTTTGTATATCTCTGTTGTCAAAACTTTTTTTTTCTTCTAATCCAAACGGTATTTCAAGTAGTTTTTAGTTACATCACAAATTTTTAACTCTTGATTACATTATCTTTATGGATTAAAGTGGGACATTTACTCAATAGCACTTATGTGTCTGCAAATTACTGACACTCTGAACCTCCAGTGATAAATAATTATAGAGAAGTGATGCCCTCAAGGAGTCCACAGTCCAGCAGGAATGATTTTGCAGAGCAATAAAAAATGAGAAGTATTTTTATGTTATATGGAATACACATGTGAGCGAAAAAGCATCAAAATAATTTATGTTTCCAAGAAGTGGGATCCTGGGTCAAACTGCAGTTCCATATTTAATTTTTTGAGGAATCTCCATACTGTTTTCCACAGTGGCGGCACCAGGCTGCATTCCCATCAGCAGTGCACTAGGGATTTTTTCCTATATCCTTGCCATGTTGTTTGCTGATTTACTGATGGTAGCCATTCTGACAGGCATGAGGTGATACCTCATTGTAGTTTTATTTTGCATCTCTCTGACGATTAGTGACATTGAGCATTTTTTCATATGTCTCTTGGTCGTCTATATGTCCTCTTTTTAGAAGTATCTACTAAAGGCCTTTGCCCATTTTTTTAAATTGGATCGTTTATGTTTTGTTGAGTTGTATGAACTCTTTATATATTTTGAAAAGTAACCACTTTCAGATGTATCACTGGCAAATATATTCTCCCTTACAGTGGGTTCCTTTTTCATTTTGAAGATGGTTTCTTTTGCTGTGCAGAGGCTTTTTAGTTTGATTTAATGCCATTTGTTTACTCTTTTCTTTGTTTCTCTTGCCCTAAAAGGTGTATTTGCAAAAATATTGCTACGTGAGATGTCTGAGATTTTACTGACCATGTCTTTTTCTAGGATTTTTATGGTTTTGCAATTTACATTTAAGTATTTTATTCATTTTTGGCAGCCTAGATTCATTGTTTGCCAATGTTCCCAACACCATTTATTGAAGAGACTATCTTTACTCCATCATATATTCTTGTCAAATATTAAATATACTAAGCAAAATAAGCCAGTCAGAGAAAGACAAATATCACAGGATCTCACTTATATGTGGAATCTAATAAACAAAATAAACTGACAAACAAAATAGGTCCAGAGACATGAAGCATGGAACAGACTGACAGACATCAGAGGGAAGGGTGGGCAGGAAGAAGTTAAGCAAAGAACTTATATGCCTACTAGGGGCCCGGTGCATGAAATTCATGCACTGGGTGGGGAGGATCCCTCAGCCTGGACTGCGTCCTCTCACAGTCTGGGAGCCCCGCGATGGATCGCCCCTATAGAGGGAGGCCCTGTCCACCCGCCGCAGCACCGCCGTGCGGGAGCCTGGGCCTCCCTCTTCGGGGTAATTGTGGAACCCCCGATTGATCAATCCCTCTGCAGGGCGATCATGGGGCAATAGCCGGGCCCTCGACCACTCGCATTGCACCCGCCATGGCTGGCTTGGTGCCAGTGGGTGTTATAGTGTGGTCGCCCGGAAAGTTGTCTGGACGGTTGTTCTGCTGTTTGGCCAATTTGGCCAATTTGCATATTATGCTTTTATTATTATAGACTAGAGGCCCGATGCATGAAATTGGTGCAAGGGGCTTGACCCTTGCAGCTCTGCTTGCCTTGGCTGGCCCTCACAGCCCCTTGCAGCCTTGGTCGGTCCTCACAGCCCTGGCTTTGTCCGAAGGTTGCTCAGATGGTTGTCCGGAATGTCGTCTGGATGGTCGTTCTGCTATTTTGTCTAATTAGCATATTAGCTCTTTATTATATAGGATATGCATAGTGCATGGACACAGGCCATAGTGTGGTGAAGGCCTGGGTTGGGTTGGAAACCAGGTGGAGGGGGCAAAGGAGGGGAAGTGGGGGACATCTGTACTAGTAATACTCTCAACAACAATAATAAATTAAAAAATTATAATTTATGGTTCTTAAATTTTTAGAGAAGACTGGAATCTACATTTTCATCGGTAAGTAGAGGCTAGGTAGGATGGAAGAGGTGAGTCTATATGCACAAATGCCTGTTTCTGGTACTACAAAGATTTTTTTTTCTTTCCAATTACAGTTTACATTCAGTATTATTTTGTATTAATTTCAGGTGTATAGCATAGTGGTTAGAAAATCATATACTTTACAAAGTACTCCCCCTGATATATCCAGTACCCACCTGGCAGCATACTTAGTTATTACAATATTATTGACAATATTTCCATTGACTATTTTGTAACTACCAATCTGTATTTTTCAATCCCTTCACCTTTTTCACCCAGTCCCCCAATCCTCCTCTCCCCTGGCAACCATCAGTCTGTCCTCTGTATCTATGAGTCTATTTCTATTTTGTTTGTTCACTTATATTATTCTATAGATTCCACATATAAGTGAAATCATATGAGGTACTATCAAGTTTTGACAATGTCACATGCTCACTGTGGGACTGCCATTTACCTGTTCATTTATCTAGTAATTTTGCCCCTCAACTACAGTGTAATCTTTGGAGGTCAGGAGGTTGCATTTTTCTTTTATCCCCAAGGTTTAGACTTATGCTTAATGCATAGTAGGTGCTCAATAAATGTTTGTATGTGATGACGGGTTATTTTGTGACAGAAAAATTGAATTGCCTAAGACAAGTGCATCCTATTTTTGTCAAATCAATGTAATAAAAAGTATATTTTTAAAGGAGCCTGGCAATGACTGTTGTGATTTACTATGTGTAATCAAGCACAGGCTATGTTGCTCTAACAAAGATACCCAAAATGCCTTGTTTTCAGAGAGAAGTTTTTTTCTCTCTCTCTTGTAATAGTCTTGGAGGGTTTGTGAACTTGATGGAGGCCCAAACTTATAGAGACCTTCTGACATCATCCTAAGTATGGGGCTTCCATCTCTGGATCTGAGACTCATCCATTTTACTGGGTTTATTAATTGTCCATTCTTTTGCATTGCTGAGTAATATTTCTGCAGGATGAATATACTCTAGTTCTATCAGTTCTATTTTCACAACTCCAAAAATAGAGGCAACTCTAAAAATATAACAATTATGAGTTATATTTTGCATGTCTAGATAAAATGTTGGACCATTCTGGCTTTTTATTTCCTTTTATTTAATGAGCTTTTTTTGGCCAAAATTCTGTGCTCAGTAATGGACACAGAGCTGTGTAAATCCCTGGCTTTTCCTCCAATTTACTGAATGAAAAAAGACAGTTGTGTTGTCCTAATCTGATGGAAACCACGTCTTTTTAAACAGCCAAGGATCCAGATGCAGTAGGATCTCTTGTAAGACCATCTTCCTTCTCAGTCTTACCCCATGTTACAGGTACCTGACCTTAAAGGCATACGGCCGAGCATCAGGTCTCTCAGGTTCTATTTCTGGTTATACCGAATTGCTAATAGGGCTTTGCACAACACAGAGAACATGCCCTTCATACAAAGCAAGAAGATCCCGTGGAGCCCTCTAAGTGAGGGAGTCGCACACTCCAAGTGAGATTGGGTCTCAGAAACCAAGGGTCTCTTCATCCAGAGCCTGGGCATGCCCTTCCCTCCTGCCAAAGCCGTGCATTTTAGTGAGAAATTGGAGCTCCGATTTTTGGTAAGGTCAAAGGGATTTCCATGGGTCCCTGGCTCCTTGGTGTGATTTCTGAAGCTAGAACTTAAAATGGTTTGCATTTTAAAAGCCCTGAAACTTTTCTTACTGAGATGTTTCTGTGGTTCACGATGCAGTAGCGGGAACTGCGGTAGGCACACAGAGTGAAAGGAAGGCAGCCCTGGGCCTCCCGAGGTTGAAGGAGGAAGGCTACTGCCCAACAGCCCAGACTGGAAAGGCGATCGCAGTGCCTCGCCTCCTGCATAAAACTACACTTCCCAGGTGGACTTGCGGCCCACGGAGGGGTAGGAAGGGAGAACGCGCTTAGAGCCGGCCCACTGACTCCCATCGTGCCAAAGTCACTCCAGTCTAATTGGAGGGCTCTATCGCGGTGCATCCCGGGACTTGTAGTACAGCGAGAACCTAGCTTCTTTGTGACTCGCGGCGCTCCAAGCGGAGCTCGGCGAGGAGTCCCGGCCACGCGCACGTGCGCTGCGCCCGAGGGGCGGCTGGCGCCTCCCGCGGGGCGGGGCCGTCGGTCCCTTGTTGACACCGCCTTCCTGCCCCTCCCCTCTCGGTGCCCGGGCGGCCCGCCCCTCCTTCCTGGAGTCACAGCTGAAGCGGCAACGGCGGCGGCACGGAGAGGGGCGGCCAAGTGGCCCACGCGACACGCGCCGGGCCGGACCCTGTGCTGTGACTCGCGCGGCTCCGGCGCCTCCTGCCCCCGCGGCGGGACCGGGCTTCCCGCGGCGGGATGTTCTCCCGGAGGAGCCATGGGGATGTGAAGAAGTCCACCCAGAAGGTGCTGGACCCCAAGAAGGACGTGCTGACCCGCCTGAAGCACCTGCGGGCGCTGCTGGGTGAGGCGCGCGCCGCAGCCCTGGGGTCGGGCACTGCCCGCGCGCGGCGGGGTGGTCGGAGCGGAGACGGGGAGAGCGTGGAGTAGGGGCGGCGGGCGACCGACCCAGACTCTGGGTCTTGGGCTTGTTCCCCGAAAAGCGGGCAGCCTAGCCCTCCGGTGTGAACTTCCTCCCCGATTCTCACCGGGAAACCTCGAGGCGGGACACTGCCGGGACCATCCCTTCCCCAGCAGACCCTGCACCCCGGTGCACGCACGCTGAACTGTCATCTCCCCTTCCAGTTTGAACATTTTTGAGTCCGGGACCCTAAGTAGACTGAGACCTCAAGTGGTCCTTAATTGAACTGTCCTCTCGTTCGCTCCCCCTCCCCCCTTTACACTTTATTTTTACTTTTGAGTCCCAGTCCCCAAATAGACTGAGACTCCAAGTGATCCCTGGATACATTTAATTTAAATCTCACGCCCCTCCCCCTTTTAAAAATTACCTTTATTTTGGATCTGGCTGCTTCCCTTTCTTTGTGTCCTCGGTGTGAAGGGGGCCCCTGGTGTTTGCTTGGAGGGCGGGGTGACTTTCCTGGGTTCAAGGAGGCTGCTTCTCCTTCATCGCCAGGATGACAGGGATGGCTTTTTGCTTTCTTCTGTGTCTATGGGACTGCTGGGTGGAGGGCCTGCAGTTGACCTGGGATGCTCATCCCTGTGGGTGTGAAGGGTCCACCAGGCTTCCTGTCACCTGCTGCATGTGGTCTGTAACTGGTGTGCTAGGCTGTTTTGTTTTCTGTTTTCTTACTTCCTCAGTCTTAACTTCTGTTTAGGATGAAAACACCTTTGCTGTCTGTAGACTTGTCTGTGTATGTGTGGACAAAGAAAAGGACACCTTATGTTTCTTCTAGATGCCATTTTTTAAAATTTATTTTATTGGTTAAAATATTACAAGTAGAAGTACACATGTCTCCTTTTTTTCCCCATTGATCTTCTCCCCCGCAACCACCCCTCTCACATGCCCCCCCCCCCCCCCAGTGCCTTGGGTCCATTGGTTATGCTTATATGCATACAAGCCCTTCGTTTGATCTCTTAACCCCTCACCCTCCCCTGCCATTTTTATTCTTAAAATGAGCAAAAATCACCTGATTTAAGGCATGTAGTCTTAATATGTCTGTCTTTTGAGGAAATGTGGATTAAATGAATTCATTTTATATGTGAGAATTTTACATAAAGATCTTGCCCAGGAGATGTAAAGCTGCAAATTATTTCTATTTATACTTTGTGAAGTACCTCTAAAGGAATAAAAAGAACACACCTGGTTTTGCCAAATGAAATTCTTCACAATCACGGGTTTCTTGAGATTACACTGTCTTGTTCAGATCGGAATGAAATGTAAATTAGTTACTGTTAGAGGGATTAGTTTTCAAGACCTTTGAAAGTGAAATGTGGCCTTCTTGGTAAACTGAACTTTCTACTTCCTGTAGTAAAATACCAGGCGCACACAGGTTGCATTGTGTGGAGTTTTTAGTAGTGACTGATTAACACAGACTGCAGGGACATTTTTGATAAGGAGAGTTGAGCAGGATTTTAAAGCATTTGATACTTTTGGACTTTTTCTGTGGTAGAGAATTTGAACTTTCATTCTGTCCAAGTCTGGAGATTTAAGTTGGCTATTTTGTAAAGGCAGAATCAATTAAACCGAGATCAGTTTGGTTTCTTAGAGATACACAGTACATTGTTACCATTGGGAGAAAGTAGTTAGCCATGTAATTGGGGTTTCACTGTGTGTGTGTGTGTCTTATTTTGAGGAACTTCCTTTTATCATTTCATTGAGCTCATTATGACTTAAATTGTGTAACATGGAGAGGTTCTTTTTTAGGTGTACTTTTGTTATTATTGTTGTTGATGCATTTGTCTTTTGGAATGGCCCAATTGACTTGATTACTGTAATCTTTATCTATAGGGACTAGATTTTTGTAAATGTATCTGAGGAATTCTAGCCATAATGTTTAATGTAAGCTTTCACTTACAACTGGTTTAAAGACTTAAAGAAAATAATGTATTATTAATACACTAGTTCCTACTCCATTACATACCCTACTTGTTTCCTACTTTAAGGAAAAGTCTACTTAGAAAAATAGGTCTCTTGCTCTGAAAAATGGGGATTAGCCAAGATCAAGAAAACTATCTGAAGGAGAATAGAAAGTATTATTGTATTTTTATTTGTATACTTATATAATATTCTTGATTTGCATACATTTTATCTTTAAGTGATAATAATGATGTCATTTTTTTTTTTTTTACATACAGAGATGATACTGCTGACCTGATTTGTAGCACAGCTACATGACTTTGGTCTAGTTACTTAGCCTGTCTATGAACATCAGTTTCTATTCTGTAAAATGGATATATATGGTAATGTCTGTGAGTGTGATGTGTAAACTATTTCAGCTTGGAGTAGGCACTTGACAACTTCCTCTCTCATTACTTATTTCTCATTATTAATAGGTAGGAGAGCATTTGATAGGTAGTTTGCCCCACCCTTTCTTATTTTGATAATTGTGATGGACTTGTTCTCTCCATTAAAATTAGTCTGTCTTTAAGACAACTAGCTAACAAAACACAATTAGCTGTGAAAAGTAGAGTATTTCTTGGTATCATGATAATGACTCCAATTAGAACTTGCTTAGCTACTTTGATCTGGCTGCTTATTGTAAATTTGCCTGATTTATTTTACAGTGGGGGAAACGGAGACATAGGCAGGCCTTATACGGGCCCAAGCCATGTACTAAATGGTCTGTATGTATTTTATTAATTAGAGGAAGAAGAAAGAGCTGTTAGGTCCCCTGACTTCCAGTTCTCCCTACACTGTCTAAATCATTATTGGGAAAGTAAATGAGCAAATAAAACAAAACAAAAACGTAAAACATATTGCTGTCTTGCTCCAGCAAAGGTCTCATGTCTAATTAAAAGTTGACTGCCTACTGCGTCCCAAAAGAGGGTATAGAAATGGCATTATTATAGCAAGAAGAATAAGGTATTAGTGAACAATAGTGCCTTGTATAATTAGATTGTGGCTTATATGGTAGACTCCATTATAGGATTTCAAGGAGGCAAAAAGGATAACTAAGGGTGGCACAAAAATAGGGGCATCTTGAAGTTTTACTCCTGCTACGCCCTGCAGAATGGTTAAACTAGCTCTGCCCAATAGGATATAATGTGAACCACATGTGTAATTTTAAATTTTCTAGTAGCCACATTTTAAAAAGTAAAAGGAGTCCTGGCCAGCATTACTCAGTGGTGAGAGCCTCAGCCTTCGCACCAGGGGATTTCAGTCAAGGTCATGTACCTGGGTTGCAGGTTTAATCCCCGCCCCTGGTTGGGGGTGTGTGGGAGGCAGCCAATCAATGTGTCTCTTTCACATCGAGGTGTTTTTTTTTTCCTCTCTCTCTTTCTCTACCTATCTATCTATGTATCTCTCCCTCTTCCCCCACCCTTCCACTCTCTCTAAAAATCAATGGAAAAATATCCTCAGGTACGGCTTAACAGAAAAAAGGTAAAAGAAAACAAGTGAAATTGACTTTAATAATATATTTTATTTAACCCCACATGTCTAATATGTATATTATCAACAGGTAAAATAAAATATTTTTTTAAACTTTTTTTTTCGTACCAAGTCTTTGAAATCTAGTGTCTACTTGACAATGACAACACATCTTAGTTTAGACTGCCCGCATTTCAAGTGCTCAGTGGCCATATTTAGCAAGTGGCTATGGCTAGAATTTGGGAAAGTAGAGGGGGAGGGCAGTTTCAACTAAGGGAAGATGGAATACATATGGCAATATTGTGGGAAGGTGAGGAACACCAGCCTGCCTCTTCCTCCTGTTCAGGGGGAGTGATGGAGGTGATGGTGGACATAGAAGATGGGGTGCTGAAACCCTGGCCCTGAGGGCATCCATGATGTCAGATAAATGACTAGAGTGCTGTGTAGGCCAGGGGAAGGGTCAGAACAGTGAGTTAGATGGGCTGGGGGAGAGGACGGATTGTGGGGGAGAAGAGGAGGAGAGGAATAGGTGATCTGACGGAGAAGCTGAGTCAGATTGGGGATCAGATCAGAAAGGGTTTTGTTTGCCTGATTTAGAAGCTCAGATCTTATCCTGCAGGTGAGAGGGCCTCCTTGGAGAATTCTTAGCAGGTCAAATGGTAAGTTTTGAGAACTTCTCTGCCAACAGGGCCAGGAAAAATGGATTTGGGCTGATGGGAGGGGTGGCACTGAACACAGGCAGTGACTGAGCAGACAAATGATAAGGGCCTGAGATAAGAAGCTCCATGAATGGAGAGGAGGGGTGGGGAATTAAAGGACCAGGCAGCAGGAGTGTTTCTCTAAGTGAAATAATGAAAGTGAAGTTTGCGGAAGCTAGGCGAGGAATGGTTAATCAGAAGGAAAAGAGATTTGGGATCAGAGGCCACAGTCAAGTGAAATCAAGTGACATCAGGATTTGGTCCAAAAATTTGGATCCAGTGAGGAGAGAATAGTCTCTCGCAAGTGCTCTATATACTGATAGGGTAACCGGACAATCAGTGGGTCCGTGCTGCCTGTCACTATTTGAGTCATTTAAATAGAGACCGGGTTGAATAATATGTGAGCATTTATTACAGTACTGTCTGCAGTATGGGAGAGCAGCAGGTCATCCACAAAAATCTGCTCTGCAGCCCCCCCCTCCCGTAAGCCAGCTGCTTATATAGGGTAAGACAAAGATTATGTGGGGAAGTAGGGATTACAGGTATGGGGAGGTAGGCTTGCAGGCTGGAGTGGGACTCCATTGTTTGGTCAATAAGGTTGTTAATCTTTCCATGAAAATAGGCAGCTCTTGAATGAGAATGGACTGCATTCAAAGGTTGACTCCCAAGTCCTGGGGGTACACAACTCCCAGCCAGGTCAGGATGTCCTTTCTTTAACCAACACAAGGCAATTGTGGTTAATGGAGCATGATTACTATTTCCCATAACCATAGCTAG